AGGATCCTCTACTGGTGACCATGAGCCTTACGTTCCGCTTGGCCATCCGTGCTATCAACCAATATGATACCAATTAAGCCAGCAATACTTTGCGATGACCAATTCTAATATACATCAAATATCTAGACTATCGGCCTTTGTACAACTCAACCTTCCAACCTTAGCCAATAGCGGTAGCCTGCTGTCGCGTTCGAAGCTTTACAGGACATATCTGAACGCCAGATTCTCCTTGTCCGTGAGGTCAAGGAGCGCTTTATCCACCTTGACTTTGATGGGGTACCCGTTTTCATCTGCCTTCACGACGTAGCCGTAGTCCAACATTTCAGGTGGTACGTTCCCTGACACTTGTGCTTCGGCCAGCAATCTGTCGCGGCGCCTGTTCTCTCTGACAAGAACATAGCGGATGGCTAGAACGATCAGGATATCCGTGATATGGGAGGCCTATATGGAGGCGCCATTTGAGATATGTGCCAGTTCCTTTGGTATACAGCACTTACAAGCGTAATGCCCCATGGGACGTAATAGCGGGGAGCATACTTATCTTTCCAGAACTGGGTGCAGAGAATCTGGCCCAGAGCATACCCGATGAGAACGATACTGTTCGTGGCCAGTTTCTGACGGTGATTGAGCACATGCATGCTCACTGTTTCCAACAGAGACTGACCTTTGTATGCCCGGAGACCGTGGCGGTCACCCATGAGAGAATCATTATGAACCCGGGGGCCCCACCGAAATCTTCGTTAACGATTAGCAGGGGAACCGACGTATCATAAAAGGGCTCTCACTTAAAAGATAGATCCCAGCAAGGAGACCGGCCTGGCTATGTCAGACCGGTAGCGAGCGAACGAAGAAGTCACCTACCTTATTACTAGACGGCAAGCAGAGTTCGAGCAATGCCGCTAAGATAGACGGCATCCAGAAACCAATATTGATCCATGCTCGGGAGTTCTACGTGAGATGTGCTATCTGGGTGATACGGCAGGTAGAAGTAGAAGTACGACTTACCGGAAACTTGCGTAACAGGTAGCACCCCAGGGTTATGCCCATAATTTGCTGTAGAGGCACGGATGTTAGCAGTCGGTATAGGGTGACTTGCGGTAAAGATGTACTTACAGTCAAACCGGATGGGATGTTCAAGACAGTTGTTTGCAAGTTTGTGAAGCCGATTGACTTGATCACCCGTGAATATTGAACGCCGATGCCGTTCTGGAGGTCTCTGCATATAGTTCTGAAGATGAGCGCGCTGTGTACTGCAGAACCCGAATTGTGCACGTACGCGACCGCAGCAAATAAGAAGAACAGCCACGTCTTCGTGTCAGTCAGAGCCTCGATGAACTGCTCCTTCTTCCACACTTTTGTCTCGATGCCGTTCTTGTTCCCTTCCACTCTCTTGACCGCCTTCAACTTTTCCTCCTGGCTCAAGAACTTGGCGGTGGTAGGATTGTCGGGAAAGAATAGTACAAAAAGGACGAAGACGAAGAAAGTCAAGATAACCGTGATAATCATCAGCCATTGCCATTGGTGAGGCTTATCACCAGCACTGATATGGGCAACACCGAAGGACAGAAAACCAGAGATTATAGTGCCGACTCCATTGCACTGGAAAGTCCTGCAGATTATTACAGAAGTTAGACATCAGGCAGAGGCTATATGGATGACGGTCCACGTACCAGCCAATCCGTTCCGCTATCTCAGTGCGCGTATAGAACATGGATGCGACGAGCATGAGTCCTATCGCATTATGGGTGGGAGGTCATAATATTGTGACGAGAAGTCCTATAAAAACGTACCGGCTGTAATGCATCCTTCTGATGCACCCAAAAGGAAGCGCAATGCAACTACCGCGGGTGCGGCTAACTTAGTGGTGGAGCAAAGAGGCGGAGCGAGACTCACAAAGACCGCCGAAATTCTGGCATACGCAGTGCAAGCCTAGGAAGATACACCTATACAAAGGTGAATAGAGGGTCCCATTCACGAATTGGAACTAACCATAGCAGGATGTTGAAAGCCATCCATTTCCCTACCGGGAAACGTTGCAAAGCCCAATTTTGAGGATACTCGAAGGCGAGGTAACCTGTATTACGGTAAGTAATGCGCACAGGGCTACGGAGACGCAGCGTACCGATATAGAATGCGCTGCCCAGATTGTTCCACTGATCTATTGTCAGATTATTATCTTGCACTATGCCCAAGACATAGGACGATGCGAGGGTTCCTCTAAGTACCATTCATGAGTTGTGCTCGAAACAACTCAATGGTCAGGCAGAGCATACTTGTCGATGTATTGAACTGATAAGTATTAGCAAGGCTTGGTTTATGGGAGATTGCCAAAGAAACATACCAGTGTAGATAAAGAATAAGAGAGGCAGCAGATGCCAATCTATCTTTGCCCGGATCCTACGGGACTCTTCAGGATGGAGCTCGTCGTCCGCAGTTGCATCGCCAGCTACGAGACTCGCAGCGACGTCGATCCTCGAATCAATCTTCACCGCCTCCGCAGACACATCGTCAATGGGATGCTTTTCATCCAGGGACGACGATGATGCCTGCTTGGTGATGAGGTCAGTCCGCATGATGCTGATAGCAGAAAGACCAGCTCACCACGACGCATGGCGTACCCCGAAATTTATGCTCGCCGGTTGGGTCTAACGCGCCCACAAGTTGCTATAAAGGACAAATTGACATATCAGTGGGAAACGATCAGGGCAGGTCCACGCTTGCCAAACGGAGGTTGGCAGGCAACCGTGATGTTATTTTCAAACTTTACGGAAGTAATTCGCCCAGCGGCACGTGTACGAATAAGCTTCCGCTACAGCCCAACGCATACAAATCAGGGTCCTGACTTTGGATGTTGAGTCGTCCAGCGAATGCTCGTGATGACCGGACGTGCATATAGGATGTTCCCGACTTCACCGACTTGGTGACACGGCGAATCAGCGTGAATGGAATTGTGGCGGCTATAAGGTGATTAGCGTCGTGTCTCTGTCATACAACGGCGGCCAGCGAACGTTCTTCATAGCAATCTGCGAACCAAACTTATGCCAGACTAGTAAGGGTAAGCGCAGAAGCTGGGATCGAAGTCAAGGGTGCAGCAATGTCTCCAGGTCGGCTTATGATTTTCAGGATACAATCAATGTCCGTCTGCGCGATGGAATATCGATTTACACTTAGCATTCGCGACAAAGGCTTATCAGAATCCCTCGCCCAAAGGACCTTCATCATCGTCCAAATCTCCGCCGCCCTCTTGTACCTGCTTAGCCAGTTCCTTCTCGCGTTCCCGAGCGCCCTCAGCAGCCGCCAGCTCCTTGCGGTGAGCATTGAGAGGGTAGCGCATTGCCTGCAAAAAAAAGGACATCAACACGGGTACCAATAGCGTATTGAATGACGACTGACCTTTACGCTCTGGTTGTGCAATTCCAAGCAATACCCGATCCTCCGCTGGAAGACCTCTGCGACTTCTGGCCCATAGCCGCCCTTCTGACCACCGCATTCCATCCATCCTTTCTCATGCACGATGCGGCCGTCAATGACACCGTCACGAATCGCTTTCCCAACAATGTACTCCGCGTCCTCCTCAGAGTCGAGGTGCAGCTTCACACAGATATCGCGCAAGGAAATGCGGGAGTACGAGAGGGACAGTCTCCGGATGCCGGTCTTGATAACATTCTGTCGTAAGCGACCGATCAGCGTGTACGTCTTGTCCGCCTCAAAGAGTGCTGCATGCTTTGACAAGGTGGCTTGGAACTGAGAGAGCGAACCAGTCCGCACAGCGGTCACGATGTCGTAGTACGCGCTCATCGCTTTCTCCAGGACAGGGTGCCGGAACAGACTTCGCTCCGGAATGTCACCCATCAAAAGCTCCACGACCACCGACAACTTGTGCACAGCCTGGTAGAATCCTGGTGCGACCTTTGCGGGGGGCGCGCGCCTGATCGCCTGCTGCAAGTTGGTGTGCGCCGCGGTATAGTTCAGCTGGACTACCTTGATACGCCCAAGGTAGTAGTGGTACCGTGCGAATTGAGAGTTCGACGCAGAGGCCGGGAAGGTTGTTTTCGAGACAAGCTTGTCCGCCTGGTCGTATAGACTGTAATGCAAATAGCTGCGCAGGAGGCGGTTGATAAGAGATGCTTGCGTCTCGTCGTCGTGCCGGAGAGCGGATGTCCGCTGCGCAGCAAGGAATATACTGCAACCGTTGAGTTTCGAATTGTGAATGCGATAGGAAACGCCTTACGGTCTTGCGTCAGCCAATTCCCCAGCAAGTTCATACGTACGCTCCACAGCATACCAAACCTTGGCCGCTATGGGGTCCATGCTGCGTCGGTTCAAAGCCTGCATTTTCGTGACGGTATCTTGTGCAAGTTCCATGGCTTTGCCATAAGTGTTGGACGAGGTCAAAAGGTGGAGAAGTATAAGAAGGCGGAGGTAGACCTCGCACTCCGGAACGGGCTCAGAAGTGACTTTGCTGGGGGCAGGGATTCCGTCAACGTCCATTGAGTGATCTGCTGTAGATGCAGCAGGCAGCCATGATAACAGCGACTTCTTGGTAGATGAGTCTAATGACGGTGTATGAGCTCGTGTCGTGAATTACTGACTTAGCATTTGCCACTGACCTCTGGGGTAGATCTCCTCTACAGCATCGCGTAAAACCGCATCATCCAGTCGTTTCCTCAACGCTGTCAAGGTCCTCAGGACTCGCATAGTGAATCTGGGCTCAAGAGTCGCCACCGCGCGCTCGATGAGTGCGACATTGGACTTGATCTCGGCTGTAGGTGAGGGTGGTACAGGCTTGGGCTCTTGCTTCGGCTTCTCAGCGTCCTGAGGCTTGTCTTCAGATTTCATTTCGATGTCGGCCATTGCAGCAGGGGAAGAGAGTGTAGTCGCGTCGGACGGAAAGCAAGTTGTATGAAGTTCACTGAAGACGCGCGTCAGTGACGCGTCCCTAACGTGGTCACTGGTCACTGAGATGTTATTATATATATTAATTGTGGCCTCAGGCCCATGTCTCCTTAGCTAAGTGGTTATAGCATGCGATTGCAGTTTGCCACGGGTAGACATAACCGGGGAGACAGTCATCGCAGGGTCCCGTGTTCAAATCACGGAGGGGACTGGTTTTTGCTAATTTCTCGAGCCCAGCTATATGCCAAACTCGTTTTATGATATCTCCTGCGACACTGCGGGCGATGCGAGTGCAATTATTCAGAAGGTGCCAAGGTCAAGCATCCATCCAGGTAGGCATCGTCGCTGGGATTGTGTCACGGGTGCTACGCGTCGCGGAAAACAGCAACGCAGCACGTGTCGCCGAATCCTCTTTCTTCTACTTCGAAGATGCCTCCACTACCGACGACGTTCAGTAATGAAGCTCAGGTATTGATAAAATCCATCGAGCGAAGGAGCGATGACATCCGGGATTTCCAAATCCCGCGTCTTCAAGAATGCCAGGGGCCGTTGTCTGTGCAGCAGGCGTATTCCGGGACCTTAAGGGAGGACATTGACTATCTAGCTCGTCAGGTAGAGGTCAGTCAAATATTCGCTCCAGCAAAAGACGGGACTGACAGTTCAGTGCGGATTAGGAGCTGGAGCTGATGGTAGAAGAGCAGCGGAGTGAACGGGATCGCAGGGAGCTGGGCCGGGTCGTGCAAGGGTTTCTTGACCAAATAGGCACGTTAGTATCATCGTGCCTTCCGAGCTTTCCAGTGGATGCTTATTGCGGATGATAGTATACGGAAGTCTGCCAGAGCAGCTGTCCTAGCTTCTAAGCGTGCTGTAGACTCCCAGAGCGCGTCCAGTCGAGAGGAGCTCCTGCGAACATCTACACCGAGCATCCACGCCAAGGAGACTGAGACAAAGGGACCGTGAGTACTGGATGAATCTGTCAGGTTCTTCTGCTTATATACTCTTCAGGGAGGATGCGCTCATGAAAGCAAACGCCGATGTCACAGCCGCCCTGAGGCGAACCATTGGGCTCATGCAGACAGAATTAGAGCGCTCTGTGCTCTCCACTCAGATGCTCGGTGAGTGCGACATTAGGTGCGTTGCTGCAGTTACTTGATCTCCCCTACCTCTTTTCCAGAACAATCTTCCTCGACTCTGCGCTCGACGTCCTCGGCCTATGACACCATGAATATGGTCCTGGGCACGTCCAAGCAACTCGTGACTGCGCTGGAAAAGTCCGACTGGATAGACCGCCTGCTCATTATCTCTGCGCTGGTGTTCTTCTTGCTGGTGGTCGCTATGATAGTTAAGGCAAGAATCGTCGACCGGAGTCTGAGAATCGCCTTCTTCTGGACTCGCTTTATCCCCCGCTCTGGATCGAGCAAATCTGATCTAGAAAAGGGACTCGGAGCTGCTGCTGCTCTAACAACGACAGCGCTCTCAACTTTGTCAAATGCATTGTCAAGTGCGACTCCTACGGCGTCTCCATGGGCTTCGGAGGCAGCCGAGTCGTTGACAGCGCATGTGTCTCCATCGATTACTTCGCTTTCGGGCCAGCTACTTGAGTCAATCTCTTTTCCACCTCAGAACACTCCTATATCTGAACCTGTCTCCGTGTCTTCAACCATCAGTTCTCTGTCGGAACAGCTACTTGAATCGACATCTCTTCTAGCTGGGATTTCTCCTACAACTACTCCTATTTCCGAAGACTTGGATTCAGGCATTCACGACGAGCTGTAATTTTCTATGGCATCATGCGAAATATAACCATGCTATCGACTTTCTGATATATTTGGCTCAGCCCTGATCTCTCTATGTTGTGCTACGCTGCAGTTGTTGACCCCGCTGATGGTCTTTCACTCAGGCACTCTCACCCGAGCTGCTCTGATAAACTGTCTTAGAGCTACGAGATAATAGTGAGGCAACGGCCTTCCGATCTCCTACGCGCAAGCGCTGCGAGATACTTGGCTTTCGGCTTTTCATGCCCTGCGAGCTTCGGAAATTTCTCCAAGTATAATGCAGCAACCCCAGTGCCCACTGCTACATGCATATATTGTCTCAAGAAGCTACCTTAGGAAAATAAGAAGACAATTCCGTCAGAAACTGCATGCGTCCGGAGTCTACAGCGCATTCTGGCGTCTAATCCCCGCCGTTTTTCAGTCACACGACGCCACACAGACCTTATTCTTATTTTGGATATCTGGCTGCCATATAGGGCTAAAGCTCGCGTGGGCGTGCATCTAGGCTTCTTGATGTCTCCGGCAGCTCTTCACCTTCTTGACACTCAACCACATCTGCTTACCACCACCACCACCACCTCCGAATTGTGTTACCCCTCTTACACCATCTGGATACATCGCGCGACCCTTCTAGGTTCCATCCATTCCATTCCCCAATCAATTAGCTACTTCGACGCGTCGAGTCCAGTCGCGTCCGACGCCACGCGACCATGTTGCTCGTCGAGGTCGTTTTGCTCCTCGTTGGGACCTTTGCGTCTCTGACAACCATGGTACAACACAGTAACATCAATCTGGCAACATGGCTACCACTTGGTCTTGGTGAAACAGTCTACATCACTACCGCGCTCACGTCTACTTTGTATGTGGCGTTCGAGAGTCTCCAGATCCCTCCCAGCAGCTCTAGGCTCATCAGCGGAGGCCAACCTTCTTCTGCATACGAGCCAGTCATTGACACTGGTGCTCACACCGTCGCCTCTACCGCGGTTCCGACTTCACACTCGCAGCGCCACACGACCCCAACCAAGTCGAAGATGCGCTACTTCTTCAGCAGTAACCCCCCAATCACGTCTCCTCCGGCCCATCTTCCTGTCGGTGATCGCTCCAGAACAGACTATGAACGCAGTGGATCCCATAGAGCCCACGACGACGATAGTGGTTACATCCTGGTTGTAGACCCGTACCAGAAGTGGCGGAAATGGCTGTCGTCATGGTCCATGTCGAAGGTTATTGCGGCTGGGACTCGGCTCTCTCTAACCAGAAAGACGCCAACCGGATCCAAGCGCCGTACGTGGACTTCTAATGAGATGCCGACCGGAAGGAAGTCAGGAGCGATCGCGCTCGCCCTAGCCATTTGTGTTGCAATATCAGCGTTGCTCTATCGTTCTCGTTCCCGTGAGTAATAGTTATTGCGCCTTTTTGGAAGGTCTCACGATTCAACGCCACACGACCAGGACGTGCTCGTTCCCGCCTCTCCAGCCGCCGCAAGGCAAAACATACACGCCAAAGACAAGCGCCAGAGAGTGTTCCTTCTAGCAATGCCTCCGCTGCTGAAGTGTCGGACGAGTCTGTCTCAGGCGGTGAAAACCGGGCACTCGCTCTGCCGTACTCCGTCCTGCGGTCCTTCGATAAGGACCCCAGGAACCAAGCGTTCGATATGTCGGATGAAACAGAGAGTGTCGGACCGTCTTCGGAACGCCACGTTGAGGCCCCGATAGCAAAGCGCTTGACTAAGACAAGCCCATGCAAATCGATTTCATCTTCCTCGGGAGATTCAAGCTTCGCAACATGCAGGGAAAGTCCCGAGAGGCTCGATCATGGTCTTTCGTCTTCTCGTCTTGATAGGTCAGAGCTTCCGAAGGATTGCGTCAAGAAGATCCCTGCGCGTGGCAGTAACGGGTTGAAGAACTCCTTACATTGTCCTGAGGACTATAAGAAGGAAGTAGCGCCCGGCGGTCCTACAGAACAGAAGTCCCAGCAGCCTCTTACTGTGCACAACGTCGATGATCACCCTAGCCTCAAGTCATCCCCTTCTTCTCTATTTGCCGCGAAGACCTCCACAGTATTGGCGATCAAGGAGACTTGTCATCCGGCCCAGAGCAATGCTCCCAAAGATGCCTGGGATGAGTGTTTCCACAGTCTGGAAGCTCGCCCTGGAAGCGGTCTGAAGGACTCCATACATGCCCCCGGTAACTCCCGTCATGAGACATCGCGTCCGGCACGGATAAACCCCCGCACCAGTTATCTCGACGGACGTCCTACTACTCGTGCCTGTGATTTCACGACTTCCAGCCCTGCTCTCCGGCCTCGCGAGGTACGACCGCATCAGGACCGACCGGCACGACAGGAGACGACAGGCCATGATGAAGTTGACCGTGAGCATGGTCTTATGGCTTCTATGCATGCCCCGGTTGCCTGCCGACCGCGTAAATGCGCATCGTATGCTGAGGAGCGAGTTATTGACCCAAGCTTGAGCTCGAGTTCGGAGGACGCCAGCCGTTCCCAGTCGTCCATGGAGTCACTGATCGTTCAGGCCCCTCTGCCCGAGGCCATCGACTTGTTCTCTCCCATTTCGAATACCCAAAGCCTGGGTAATTCTTCCGGCAATGAAGTTCATGTGGCGTATAGGAATGGAGGTCGAAAGCGATCTGTATGTACAGATATGAACGTCTCTGAATCCAGATCTGACATCTGCTTCTCGCAGGCATCTTACACCGCCCGAGGACTTCCCGAAGTATCTTGGCTAGCGGCCGTGGGACAAGCTGGGTTCTCATCTCTTGAGGATCACTCGACCAAGAGCGTCGAAGGAGAACGAGTGGCCGATGCTACATCTAATGACGATTTACCCGCTCCTGCATCGGTTCCTCGCGAGACCTCATCCTATGAGGACTCGGCATGCCCGCCTAAGCCAGCCGATGTTGACAGTGGCGGTCACCACGAGGAGACAGACCATGAGTTTGTTTATACTGGTGTTGACTACGTGCCAGCGAAGTCAACCGATATTCATCTCACTTGTGACGAGGAAAAGAGTTCCTCGGCTTCGGTGGCGGACCGTGCAGACAGCCAATGTCCAACCCAAGAAGCCGCCGCCCAGGTTCAGGAGCAATCACCTCCGGCTGGAATAGTTGCTGAGGAGAATGTATGGGTGCCCCCAGTGGGTCTCGTTGGCAATGCAGCTCATGAACCAAGGTCTCATGCTGAGAGCGTCGAGGGTGGTGAGGGCGACGTGGAAGAGATCGCTGCGGACGGCCGACTTGAGACTGTCGCCGTCTCGCCGTCACAAGCGCGTACTCTTGGCATTGAGGCTCCGTTAGCCATTCCCGATGGAGCCACGTCGATGCTTGCCCCAGCTGGCAACCCTGTTCCCAGCAAGGAAGACGGCATTCATGTCCACCTTGAGGAGAAGATCATGCAAGAAGCTCCTGAAAGGACTACAACC